TTGTAAGTGTTGTTCCATTACGCGGAATCCAACACGAGATCACTATCAACGCTCATCGGGAGCAACAAGTCGATTTCGGCATTTTCGGTCCCACGTTTCTATGGGTGGATCCTTTGAGCAAGCGGACACAGACAAGTGCGATATTCCAAGTTTAATCGCGATTCGGAAAGTCGCGGTTGACTTGACACAAAAATATTTTTTACACTATATATATATATATATATGTAGACCCAGAATATGCTATCATTCTTAGATTTTATGTCTTAGACTTGCATTGAATTTAAGCAATTTGTTAAAAAGAGAAAATAACCATTAACAAACAAATGCTGATATATTTCCCTTAGAGGAAAAAACTGTTTAAAATATTTTCATAATACATTCAAATCTGAATCGGTGAGGAAGTCAATTTACACTTTTACTCAACTGTCTTTGTATTGTGCGTAATAACAAAAAAAAAAATTGAGTTAAAGAGACACAGAAAAAGTTTCGATTTTCCTGACCTAAGCATAGTTGCCAAAATCTAAAAGTTTCACATGGTTGTTACATTTCTGTTATTGTTCTGTACGCAGACTCGAAATGAAATGGTTAAACTAACGAAACAGACTTAGAGGATTTTTTATGTATTTCCGAATCTGCCCGAGTTCAACCAAAATTGTTCGATACGATCTAAAGTATTGCCTACCTGCATTCGAATCATGTGGGCAAATTATTATTTAAATTTTTATTTGGTACATTAAACTTTTGTACGATTATTTGGTACATTAAACTTTTGTACCAAATTTGTAAACACATTCAACATTGGTCAATTTTGCGAGATATATAATATATTAGATATGTTTGTTATTAGATATGTTTTTATGAAATATTAAAGATTTATGTCAGTTTTGTTGTGAAAACCCAAATCGAAATAACGAATTCCTCAAGAATAACATAATACACACAATACCAAACAAAAACACAACAGTTACAAAGCAACAAGACACTAAACCACTTCCCATTTATGTACACGGAAACATAAATCACGCCAAGCTCCTGGACGCTCTTAGAGAAAAATACAATAATGTCTTTCAAATCAAATTCACCTATAACAAACTCAACATCATGCTAACCTTAATGACTTCGCTGAATTTAAAACTAGAAGGAAAACATTGAATACCACACGTACACTGTCAGATCAGAGAAAACTACTACTATAGTACTAAAAGTACTTTCATGAAACTTCCTGAAATAAGAACCCTTAACAGTATCAAAAATCACGGATTAAACCTCATACAATGTATAGAAATCCCAACCAAAATACCCGATCTATCGCGTAACTTTGTACCAAGGTACCACAATAGCACAAATTAACCATATTAGGTACATCGATAATATCAAAATTTACTGGAAAAAATTCGAGTCGAACAAACCTACCATATAATGTTTTTAAATGTCAACGGCACACTTCAACAAGAGTCTGCGTCAAGTGTGTAGGATTACATGATTCCCGAACTTGCACAAAGACATTTGAAATATCTTCTACCTGCGCTAACTGCAAGAGAAACCACCCAGTTAACTTCTCCAAATGCCCCGCCCTCCTAGCCTATCTTTCCAAAAAAAACTCCAACAAAATCCTATCTACACCATAACCCTCCCTCTTTCACACTTATTTCTCCAGCCTTTCCCAAAACAAAGCTTCCTACACTCTCCTATCTACACGCACCACACATGGACTTAAACATGGCATAACATACACACAAGCTCTCATATCTCTACAGCTACAACATCCTTTAACACCAATAGACAACAGTCCCGATCTCACTGAACAATTAGATCAACTAAAATCAGCTGACCTCAATCTCTTAAGAATCATCACACTAATACAAAAATACTACACTACTAATATACTAATATGTACCAACAACCTTGATAGAGTCAAAGCCACAATACAAATTGTCAAAGAATTAGAAAATAGCCACTCTTAATATCATCTTATGGAACGCTACTAGTGTTAAAAATAAAACTACTGAACTGCACAAATTTCTTACCGACTATAACACTGACATAGTCATCATTACCGAAACTTAATTAAAGCCTTCAGACTAAAACTTTCAAACTAAACAGTTATAATATTTATCGAAATGATCGACCTCTCACTATCTCCAAAAACACCAGAGGAGGGGTACTCATAGCCGCTCGTAAAGACATTCAAATAGAAGATATTCCTCAACTCATCTTTTCCAATATAGAATTCATCTCGATCAGATTAAAATCCATCCCCTTACTTATCATAGGAGCTGCTTATATTTCACCTAAAGTCAAAATAATCCATTCGATCTATATAACACTATCCCATCACCCAACACCGGTCACTTCCTCGTCGGCGGAGATTTAAACGCCAAACTATATCTGGAATAACCTAACTAGAAACGCTAACGGTTCGACCGTTAAAAACCACTCCGAATTTAGGGATTACCTAAAAATACACAGCTCAACCTATATCCACAGAAAACTCAAATTCACACCGATAAATATAGATATATTCATATTCAATGTACCATACTCATATAAATGCCAAACTATCGATGACCTACCCTCCAAACATCTTCTCGTATAATTATCTTTATATATGCACAAGACGGATAGAAGATCGACAATGACTGAACGCACCGATTGGATCGCTTATGCAAAATTTTGCAACAAAATTAATATAAATCCTAACTTAACCAACAAATTAACACGAGATCGATTCTGAAGTCCAAATCCTCACGTACCATATCCAGAAAGCATTTCACAATACCACACAAGTAATACCTGCCTACAATATAAACCTCAGTTCAGATTCGCTCCTTTCACACATAATCAAAGACAGAAACAGAATGAGAAAAAATACCAAAAGACCGGCAATCTGATTTACAAACTCCATGGAAACATTCTCACTACCAACATACAAAAAAGAATATTCCATATGAAAAACAAAACTTGGCAGCAAAATTAGCAAATATAAAAAACACCGATCCCACATTCTGGCAAAACTATCGTATCACTGGAGGTGCCAAAACCAAAATCCCTGTCTTGATATGACATGACACACAATTTTCACTACATTGACAAGGAAAAAACTAAAGTACTCGCAAGCAACTTCGTACAGATTCATCTGAACGTTAACAACATGCACTCTCCTCTCGAACAACAAATTCATCAAAAAGCAGCACGCATCAGAGAAACCTCTCCTCTAAATCAAAACCTTACATTCTGTACACCCAAAATCATCAAAGAAATAATCAAGAAATTCTCAGTAATAAAGGGTTCCGACAAGATAACTCCTCTTAAACTAAAAAATTTACCTAAAAACAAATCAATCATT